ACTGACATTAAAATATCAAACTGACATTAAAATATCAAACTGACATTTAAATATCAAACTGGCATTAAAAAGACAAAACCAGAACCGCTGGCTCACTGGATAATTCAGTGTCCTTTTACAAGCTTTACAAAAAGGTGCAACAAACGACACGGTGCTATTTAACATTTAAATCTTTCACATAGAAACAAAGTTTGACGTGTTTAAATCCTTTGAGCCTGTTTTGAAATGATCTGTAACATTTTATCCAGGAACGTTTTGGGGCTTCTTATTTCCAGCGCTCCGTCTCTGACCCTCCACTTCCACCGGGGGCAGAAGTCTGGAGCAGGAGCACAGTGGAGCTCCAGACCGGACTCGAGCACCTCCTCATCGTGAGCGACCTGCCGGCCCTGCAGCGTCTCCAGAGTGAACACCCGCTCAGAGATCTAGAAAAGAGACACCCGTTGCTCCTCCTTCACTAAAGCTCAGAACAAGAAGGAACTGCTTTCTTAAACACGAACGTGTGACGCAGCTCGTACCTGATCGCTGATCCCAGTGGCGATGTGGCCAACCGCCACTCGACGCTTCTCTCTGATCCGAATGCTTCTCCTGCTGAAGTTCCTGATGCAGACGTCCACCCCTGTCCCAACAGCAGAACATTTACTGCTGTTTTGTGTAATGAAAGTTTGCAGAAATTGGAGGAAAAGAGATGTTATCTCACCTTCAAAACACCAAGGGGGTGGAACTGGTGTGTGACCCAGCAAATCCACACCTAAGGTCTGAACATCTGGTTGACTGCTGTAGGAGAAGAAGCCAGAGCTGAAGTCATCTCCTGGGCTCAGGGACCAGCGACCAGAGTCCTTGGAAAGACAAGAGCCGGTCAGTCAAAACACGAAATATTAAAAGTTAGAAATAAGCTTCTTTATTTAAAAAATGTGGTGAATTAGTAAAAACTTAGCATAGCGTAGATAAGTAACATGTTCGTGACTATTAAAAGTTAAAAATAAGCTTCTTTATTTAAAAAATGTGGTGAATTAGTAAAAACTTAGCATAGCTTAGATAAGGAACATGTTCGTGACTGTTAAAAGTTAAAAATAAGCTTCTTTATTTAAAAAATGTGGTGAATTAGTAAAAACTTAGCATAGCGTAGATACGTAACATGTTCGTGACTATTAAAAGTTAGAAATAAGCTTCTTTATTTAAAAATGTGGTGAATTAGTAAAAACTTAGCATAGCGTAGATAAGGAACATGTTCGTGACTGTTAAAAGTTAAAAATAAGCTTCTTTATTTAAAAAATGTGGTGAATTAGTAAAAACTTAGCATAGCGTAGATACGTAACATGTTCGTGACTGTTAAAAGTTAGAAATAAGCTTCTTTATTTAAAAAATGTGGTGAATTAGTAAAAACTTAGCATAGCGTAGATAAGTAACATGTTCGTGACTATTAAAAGTTAGAAATAAGCTTCTTTATTTAAAAATGTGGTGAATTAGTAAAAACTTAGCATAGCGTAGATAAGTAACATGTTCGTGACTATTAAAAGTTAGAAATAAGCTTCTTTATTTAAAAATGTGGTGAATTAGCAAAAACTTAGCATAGCGTAGATAAGGAACATGTTCGTGACTGTTAAAAGTTAAAAATAAGCTTCTTTATTTAAAAATGTGGTGAATTAGTAAAAACTTGGCATAGCGTAGATACGTAACATGTTCGTGACTGTTAAAAGTTAAAAATAAGCTTCTTTATTTAAAAATGTGGTGAATTAGTAAAAACTTAGCATAGCGTAGATAAGTAACATGTTCGTGACTGTTAAAAGTTAAAAATAAGCTTCTTTATTTAAAAATGTGGTGAATTAGTAAAAACTTAGCATAGCGTAGATACGTAACATGTTCGTGACTGTTAAAAGTTAAAAATAAGCTTCTTTATTTAAAAATGTGGTGAATTAGTAAAAACTTGGCATAGCTTAGATAAGTAACATGTTCGTGACTGTTAAAAGTTAAAAGTTGGGATGTGTAAGATAGAAATGTGTGACTGTGTGTGCTTTGGGTCACCTTCTTCTCCCTGGGCCCCCAGTTGGAAGGATCACTGTTGATACAAGACAGGAGCTGCTCCTGCTCCTCAGCAGAATGAAGCTGAGACAGGCTGCTCAGGTAGAAGTCTGCAAACAAACATGAACACTATGAGCACAGTTTATGCACATGCAACCCGCGACAATGACTAAATGGTTTCCACTAACGTCACCTCGCTCCAGTTTACGAAGCTCAAGCTCCGGCACGGTGGTGATCTTGTTGCTCCACTGCTGAGCTGGCTCAGAGAGCAGCGCTTGTGGACCAGAAGGCAGTTTCTGCGTCTTTAATCCTGCTGCGATCACCTTGTCAGCAGGCTCCAGGTGGTCCTGGTTGTGGTCCACGTCACTGCGCTGCGAGGAGTCGGGCAGTTTGGTGACGACACGCAGAGGCTCGGTGTAGGGGCCTTTCACTGGACTGCACAGTCCTCCAACTGCAGCTCCAAAAAGAAACACGACGTTCACTTGAACTTTTCCTGTTCCAGTCTGCAGACTGGACTCAATCTGAGACGAGCACCATGTGAACGTCAATACAACGATAAAGTGCCCCAGTAGATTGTTGAACGCTCTAATCTTGCTGCTAAAGCTGCTCTCATTGATCCACGCCAATAACAAACACTATTGATTTTACAGGTTGGTAACTGTTAACGTTGTTCTAAAACATACATTTGTGTTTAGTCCAGGTGAAGCAAATCACCTGGTTACATTTCAATGAAGTGAATCACTCCTGGAGCCGAGACTCACGGGGGGAGGAGCTTCTTCCACTAATATACAGACCAGGGCTGTTACAGCTCAGGGGCCACAGTTTCTGAACATCAACAGCTCAGGGGCCAC